TGAATATAATTTTTTTTTTCTCGAATATTCATTATAACTTATAAACGAATGCTTAGATTTTTTTTCATGTTTGGGAGATAATGCCTATTAATTAAGGGGCATAAAACAAGCGATAAAAATGTTTAAAAACTTGCACAGTGGCGGAGTGGAGGGGGTGCTCAACCTCTTTCCTAAACAGAACTTCTACGCCAATAACTATTTTTGAAAAAAACTGTTATTTTCATTGTCTACATACAATTTAACAAAAACAATGTTCCTTCTTCTGTTTCGAAATTCCTGCGCGTTTCCGAGTTATTTTGATTTTTAGTGTTTGATGTGGTACTAAATTGAACTATTTATTATCAATTATANGAAAAGTTCCTATAAACATATGTCGTAGAAGGCTTCGTTTCCGAGAGACGGGGTGTTGAATATAATTTTTTTTCTCGAATATTCATTATAACTTATAAACGAATGCTTAGATTTTTTTTCATGTTTGGGAGATAATGCCTATTAATTAAAGGGGCATAAAACAAGCGATAAAAATGTTTAAAAACTTGCACAGTGGCGGAGTGGAGGGGGTGCTCAACCCCTTTCCTAAACAGAACTTCTACGTCAATGACTATTTTTGAAAAAAACTTATTTTCATTGTCTACATACAGTTTAACAAAAATAATGTCCCTTCTTCTGTTTCGAAATTCCTGCGCGTTTCCGAGTTATTTTGATTTTTAGTGTTTGATGTGGTACTAAATTGAACTATTTATTATCAATTATAGGCTAAATATTTAATTCTTTCAACGAAACCTGCCGAAATATGGTTTGTTAAGGATTCTAAAAAGCCGAAATCTCTTATTCTTTATCTCTTTCCAATGTAGTCAAAATAAATGTTTGTTATATCAAGCCATACTCAAATACAAGACTTTTATAAGTTGAAATCTGTTTAGTANGTCCAACGGAACGAGTTGAACACGGAGAAATACCTGGCGGAAAGCGGCGTGGAGGTCGTCAAAGACGACAAGGGCTCCACGGCGCTGCACCTAGCCTCGGAGTGGGGCAAGCTGAACATCGCGAAGTACCTGGTGGAGCGCGGCGTCGACGTCAACGACAGGACCAGCGACGGACGTACGGCCTTGCATTTTGCCGCTCTGTGGAACAAACTGGACATCGTCGAAGACCTCGTGGAGAAGGGTGCCAACGTGAACCTTATAGACAGCGAGGAGCACACTCCCCTGCATTTCGCCGTCAAGGGGGGTAAATTAGACGCCGTCAAGTACCTGGCGGAGCACGGGGGAGACGTTAACGCTAGAGATGTCGACGATCGCACGCCGCTTCACTTTGCCGCCGAGGAGGGTAAGCTGGACATCGTCGGGTACCTCGTGGAATGCGGCGTGAACGTCAACGACAGGGACCGTCGGGGAAGGACGGCGCTGCACTTTGCCATTGAGTTTTCTTGTAAGAAACGTCACTTGGATGTTGTGGAGTATCTCGTGGGATGTGGCGTGGATGTTAACTTTAAAGACAGCTCGGGCAGTACGGCGCTTCACCACGCCGCACGGTGGGGCAAGTTGGGTGCCGTCAGGCGTTTGGTGGGCGCCGGTGTCGACGTGAACGCTACGGATGGTCGTAGCCGTACTGCGTTGCATTTTGCTATTCAGGAGAATAAAATTAATACCGTAAACTACCTCGTAGAGTGCGGTGCGGATGTCGACGTTATCAGAGATGCCAGTGGCGTCAGGTATCTCCAGCAGATCGGTGTGGATGTTGGTTCTGCAAGTAGCGGTAATTATTGGGGGAAATTGGGTACGCTGTTTAGAAAATAATTTTGACTTAAGGTCTGTTCCAACAAGAGTCAGGGATTGGTTCCGAACCGTTTGAAATGTTTGGCCAGCTAAGTTTTAAATGTGTCTTCAGTGAATATATCGCAAGAATTAGTTGGATGCACATTTCTGACGGTTTGGAACCAATCCCTGACTCTTTTGGAACAGACCCTTAATAGTGGAGTCAAGATAGATTTTGACTTCGCGAAAATTACTGGACGAGAGAACTTTTTATTTTTCGCTTTGTAAAGTTGTCAGAAACGACATATAAAAAGTTACCAACAAATTAGTTGCAAAATTACAGTTTTTGCAAAATACATAAAAAAATGTAATTTAAAAAAAAATTAACTGCGCCATTCGAAAGAACAGAAAATTTTACATTAAAAAATAATAGTTTTTTTCTAAAATGAGTTTTTTTTTCTAACGTACGAAAAATGAGACCGGCGGCCCCCAAGTATAGCTCTCGAAGAGCGCGCGGCCCCGAGCGCGCTACACTAAATTTGTTATAACTTTTGATCTAATTGATCAAATCGACCTCACAAAAATTTAAATAAAAGAAGAGTCAGCCGGCTATCAGAATTTTATGTCTTTAAACTTGAGAAAAATATATATAGTACGTATACAAAGTTACGTCATTCTACAATTTTGTATAATAATAATAAATAGCTGTCATTCGTTTAATTTTTTAAAATAAATATCTGTAACTTTCACAGATTACTCTTCAAATGACGATTGAAACAGTGAGCGATATGGAATAAATCTTAAAAATTTAATTTGAAAAATATTGTGCCCAACGTATTCAATAATTTTAAAAATTCACAAATTTGACTTTTTAGGCCATACTTTACAGATAAAAAACTATAGCTGTAAATGTGATATTCAAACTTTATGAGCACTTTTTAAAGCTTAAAATCTCTACTTTAAGATGGTGCATTTTATTTTTCTTAAAAATTTAAATAGTTGAAAAACAAAAAATAACGAAAAATAAATATATTTCATGAAAAATCGGTGAAATTTGTTGTTAAATAAAGTTTAATAATGCACAAAAAAATTTTCTTTTGTTTAAAAAAAACATCAAAACCTTAAAACCTTAAAAAAGTAAATCCAGCGAAAAATATATTTTTTATTTATAGTAATAAGTGGAAAATTGTTATAATAGCAAAAAATAACGTTTTTTGATGAATTGATTTAATATTCATTTTTAAAAAGTATATTCTGTATCTGAAATTGTGAATATAAGTTTGAAACATGCTCGGTGAGTATAGCATGCACATGGTGTATACTACTACATAGAAATAAATACAATAGCGTTACTTGCAAAAGGGAATTTTGAAAATTGTGAGCACACCAAATATTTTTTTGTTACTTACAGTTTTATTTATTTTAAAAGCGTTTTTCGTTTATAAGAATTACATAATTATTATTATAAATGGTATAAGAATATGATTTTTTA